TGTAGTAATTTCCATGCCCCCGCATTGCTCTCATCAACTCCAGCCACTGGATCAATCTGTCTATAGACCTCTTAAAAAGTATAAAAATACGGGTTGCGATTCCTTGATGCGCAACAACCCGGGAAAGACAATGTCTATATATGACATACCAAAAATTGTAGAAGATGCTCTACCGTTGGCGGAAACCCCAAAGGATATTCAGGCTGGATGTAAAGTAAGTGGAGTTTTCCTCGTCAACAGAAACATTTTCTGAGAAGATGAGTTTCTTCTTGTTGCTATAACAGACCGTCCGAATCCAAATATTGAAGAGCCAGTACCAAAGCAAGACGAAATAGTTCAAGAAGCAACCCCTCCAAATTCACCTGTCATAGTGAATTTACCTCCAGCATTACCCGATATAACCAAAAAAATAGAAAAGTTAAGCTGATAATTTACCTGGACCTTCTAAAATACAATCGAGATTTACGACCATCACCAAAAACACCAAAAAGATCAAGCAGCAGAAAAGGACGAAAGCGAGGGCGGGCTGCCATCTGGACTGACACAACGAATAAAGAAGAATTGGAAACTGCTTATAAAGAATAGGAAATGAAAGAATTAAAGAAGAAAGCAAAACTGTTCGGCACAAAAAGAAAAATTTGCAGAAAAAAATAAAAAACATACCTTTTAGCAGCTCCGAAGATGAAGAGTAGGTTTTTTGCCTTATTTACGGGAACTTTTTTTAAATTCCCGGCCAAAAGAAAAATGGGTACAATGTACTGTGTTCTAACTGGGCTCATCTTGAATAAACAGAAAAAATCCATTTTTCATTTGTTTAAATTGCAGTTCTGACGATGACATGTAATAAATACAAGCTTGTTTCAACTAACCCCATCAGTGTAACAACCAACCCCGGATCAGGGTAACTTTACTTACTTAAATTATTTATAACTCTGTTTGTGGTAGTTTAAAAAATTAAAACTTAACTTAATTAAAACTTATTTTTTTTAATGTTGGCAAAAAAATATGCGTTGGAATAAAATTTGTCTTATTAATGGGGAAAATATTAAAAATGCATTTGTTAAAATCGTAACAACTAACCCCGGTCTCCCTTACTCAAAATTACTTGATTTGCCTGAAGATGGCCATAAGGACCTATAAAGGTCGAAAGCGCCTGCAACCTATCAATTTAATCAACAGACTTTGTGTTTTTCTTTGCTATTTAATGATACTGTTTTTTAATATGTATAAAAAATAAAGAATATTTTGTCATGATAATGTTTTGAATTCAATATTGGCCGAGTTCGTAAGACAGCGTAAAACAGGGATGTGGAGGGTTCAAATTAACGACGAACAACTACTAAACTAATTTTGTTTTACGGTGTTATCCACGTAGTTGTCAAATTATTATATGAAAGTATAGTCTAAGATACGAAAGTATAGTCTAAGATCCGAAATTAGGTCGACCTTCACCCATCTGTTTAACGGATAACATTTTTTTTTTGTTAAATAAAATAAGTTTATAACTATACCTTAAATGGGTTGCCTAAGAAACTACTGTCAAGACTATTTATTTTCTTAAAGTTATAAAAACGACACCCTATAAACTATTCCCGGATGTTTCGACTATGCCCAAAGGTATTCAGCTCACCACCGCAGGATGGAATAAAGCTTAAGTTTAAAATTTGATGTTTTTCTGTTTCTCCGTTTTAGACTTATCTTCAAAATATTAAATTTGTACTTTTCCTTAAATATCTCAAATACGATCCACTTTAGGGAAATTATGTATAGGACCAAAATTATATTTTATCATAATTCCTATACTTTCCTTATCTGTATAAAGAAAGGAAAGTAAAAAGTAGCCGTTACAGTATTTTCTTAGGCAACCTGTTTGCGGTATATTTATAAACATACTTTATTTAATTAAAAAATCCGGTCAACAGATAGGTGAAGGTCGACCTTACTTCGGATCCTGTACTAGTATGGTAGTCTTGTTACAAGGAATGTTTATGGTTATAATATAACGCACAGAAATCAAGAAATGTGTATTTGTAATTTCTACTGCATAAGGTTTCTTCGACTTCATCAACTACAATTCTGTAAAATGAGGTGCCTTGCTAAAGGATTGCACATTAACAATAACAAATTTTAACATGAACATTTCATTAAGGAAAACCTAAAGGTTTAAGTTATTTTATTTTCAAGTTCTATTATTTTTGTACTCAGAAATATATAATGAAAAATAGATTTCGTTTTCCATAAATGCTTTGCCAGTGCTTGAAAATTGTAATAAGTTTAAAAATCAGTTTCTCTATAATCGTTTTTCTATTAAAAATTTAACTTTTGTGCATACATGCGTAAATAACTATTATTTTAATATTGAAATGTCACTGTTGTATAAAGATTTTACGTAAAAACATATTTAGTAATTGTATTAGCATCACCTCGGTTTAGCTCTTTTCCTTCTAAGACCTTTCGAGTTTTAACACCTCAGTAGTGGACAAATTAAAATATAAAACAGAAGTTTAACGAGCGGACTATGGTCTCTCAGGAGAACGTACTCTACAAAAGTTTTACGGCTTTTTCCGTAAATGAAAACATGCGTAATTTATCTTGGTTTTTATAAAAACAAGTTTTACGTTTATATAATACAGCAAAAAATATCATGTAGTGCATTTAACAGTTAAAACTTATAAATTGTTATATTTTCATTATAATGTCTAAAATCTAAAATTACACAAATTCGAATTTACATTAAGCCTGTTAAATGTAACTAATACTGACATATTATTGGGAAAAGATAATTTAAATGCACATTACTGTAATTATTTCGTAAACCACAAATAAATAGAAAAAATCATGATTACTATACTTTCTTTATCTGTATAAAGATATTTTAAAAAATATCAATATATCTTAGATCTAAAATTTATAATGTAATTCTTTCTGATTTTGTATATAATGGTTAGTGTTAAAACATAGTAGTAGTACCAGGTCTTCAACAATACCCGAAACCCACGTGATCTGATAACCATCAAAAACCCATCGAAAGGTCCTGATTTGACGTAAAAGGAACTAAACTGAACTGTCAGTCCTGTCAGAAATGTCACTGGTGTTCATTTGGGGACTGACAATATTTATGTTATATTTGTTTACATTTTATAAACACCTTTATTCCGTTTTTCATTTAATAGTAATAAAGCAATTAGTTATTTTTAGAGAAAATTGGTGGCTTAATTCTTTTTTGTTGGTAAGTACAAATTCATTTACTGTAACTCTTAAAAGTTAATGACTATTTAATTTATTTTATTTCAGGTAATGTTACACAGAAACAAAATTATTTTATATTCGTAATTGCATTCGAAAATTTGAGGAACGTTTTCCAGTTGAATAAATGGAATGTGATTCTTTTTTGTCGTCATAAACAAATACTTGTTTAAAATTATAAAAAAAAGGAAAAAGCTCTAAAAGGCCCACAGTAACAACAAAAGCTGTTGAAGATGTGCAAATTAACATGGTGCAAATTCCCAATAAATTAGTAAAAAAACAACACCTCAAACAGGTATGAACGGTGTTTCAAAGACTGACTCTGACGAGTGAAATTCAAAACTTTTTTTTTAGGTTTGTCACTACCGATTACTACTGAATATGCTTTTAAATAAAATAGTTGTTATTAGGTTTGCCTTTATAATTTAAAGTGAGATATGTAAGGTAAAACAAATGTGTTCTTGCTACATTAATAATTTTAATAATTTTTTGTATACATATATATAAGTAACATAATATATCTTGTAAATGGTTTAAACCCTGTAACAAATAAACAATGGGACAAACTTCAAAAAATATTTATTATTTCACATTGCCCAGGTACAATTCGAGTAAGTTTTAAAGTTTACTTAAACTGCAATAATTGCCAAATACTGCCATTGTCTTCTGCCAATCGTATTTAAAGTTTCAGCTGTAGCTAAATAGCTTAAAGTCAATCTAAAGTAAATAATTTTTAATATTCATATTTTAATGTATAACATTTTTTGTCCATAACGTTCTGGTGAAGGTTTTTTTTTGTAATAGTTGCAATAACTAGTACGAACCATATTTCAGTTTATCATTCTTTTCGATAAATACAAACTAGATATAAATAGCTCAGTTTTTAAGATTATGTTAATTGTATCATAATTTTAAAAGTTATATTATTGTATTTGACTAAATCTAATTAAATTATCAAATTCTAACATTAAAATACAATAATGTAAAGCACCTCTAATTATTAATATTATGATTTTGTGTTGTAATTCTAACAGTTACCTAACTAAATTTTGTTCTCATAGTTGCAGACCATAAAAAAAGAAGAAGATCTATTTTTTAATAAAATACCTACGGCACTGGCTCACATCTAGGGATTTTCACTTTTATTTTCACCAATCGCTGTCATGATGATTTGGTCACGTGGGTTTTCGGTATTGTTGAAGACCCAGTAACTACATAGATAATTTTTTTTTTTAAATATTTTTAGTGTTAGATCAATATTTTCTAATCTTCCAATCCCCAATGAAAGACGTTTTTTTATCGAACTATAGTTTTTTTTGTATTTATTATTGTATATACAATATATTTTTTCTTCATTAACCTTTGTTCTGTAAATGGGGTCCGTCCCGTAAATATTTTATGCTAACTAATTAAAATAAAAAATACAAATAAAGTGGAAATTCAAAAGTAACTCATTCTACTCTTACTAACAAAGTTTAATTTTGAAAGTGTAAAGTGTAATATTAATTTTTCTAACCTACCATAAAAGTATGTGAAAATCATGTCGTGAGACGTACCTAATATGATTGTATGTCAAAGAATGTACGAAAACGAGATGTAAAATGCAAAGGATACGTTCCGATTACATTTTTATAGAATGTACTATGAATATCCTACAAATAATATGCATAGTAGCACGTAAAACGCATTTAAACAGAATTTAGCGCTTCATTGTTTACTTTTATTTTATGACAACAAACAATATTTTTACTCACCTATCGTCTAGTGAAGAAAATCGCTGTTCTAATATATTTTTGTAAGATTTTGAAATTCGAGGGACATCATCACATGTCGATTCTGCTGTGCCTATTTTTTCACTTACATTTACAGGTTTTCTGCTAAAATTATAAAAATATTATTGATGTTACAAAATATGATAAATGCTAAAGCAACATTAAGAGCCGATCTTTCCACCTCTGAGTAAACGTACATGTAGAGGTACTTTGCAGATTAGCAAACTATACCCTTTAGCCCAATCAACAAGTAGTTACTTTCAACTTTTCTGATAGGTGAAAAGGCTAGCCATTATTATTAATAGTAATATTATCTTACCTATTAACATATAAAAAACATTCATTTTCCGCCAATCTTATGCTAAAGTCAAGTTTCTCCGGTAAAACATAAGATAATTTCTCTTCGATTTCGTTTGTACTACTTTGGTCCTACAATTAACAAAATTATATTAAAAGATTGAAAACTTCTGACTAATTTAGTCTACCAGGTCCTAGAGAGATTACAATTTGGGTCTTATTGTAAGCTGGAAAGAGTTACCGTCTGAGTCTCAAGACGGCATGATTAAGGAGATCAGGATAATCTAAATTTAACTACAGTACTGTAAGCCTGCAACTTACTCTCCTATAAAGAGGCTAAAATTGGACCTGATGTAGCAACCATATATTAGATAAAAGACAATAAGACGTCTAAGGGTTTATTTTCTGTTGATTGTCAGAATCGTCTAAACATAAATTATTGTTTAAAAACCATTAATATACTGTCTTTCGTACTTATTTCGTACTCACTTCCACTTAGACAATCCTAAAGCAACACCTACCAGATAAGTAAAAAATTAGGCAAACCATAATTGCACATTACAGGATTTGGAGAAGTACTGACAACAAAGGTGATTCTGTGCTACAATTTAGCAAGGCAAATAATGTAGTTACAATTAATATAGGTCTACTTCTGATAAAGAAAGTTGTTTAAGTGGCAGATATGTAAACTTCATCAATAAAGGTAATGATTCCAAAGAAAATAATATTCAAAGCTTCCCTGTAGATTAAGAAAGATAAGCAGTAAGATCTTGCAAATGTGAAGTGGCTCATTAGCCCCCTTTTATCGATTTCAAGGGGACGAAATGGCTAGTGAAGCCAAAAAACAACTCAAAAATATTCGATTGGGCACTGGTGAGTTTACTGATATCGACTAGGTGACTCCAACAAATATAAGTATTAGAACGTTATCCTCGCTAACAGAAGCAAACCCGGAAACGAAAGGACGAATGACGGACATCCCGACAGAAAAGCCCCTAAAAAGACAACCTGTGACCAAAAATCCGAACGGAACGGAGCCTCCGGGACACTTGGCGAACCTTCCAAAATAGGGAAGCTTTAGCGTGTTACGAGATAACTGCCTTGCCGGACCTGTAGTTTTAGCCAACTCGTGGGAACAAAGATGAGATGATTAATTTAAGAGTTATATCAAAGATGAAGAGAGAAGAAGGTACGAGGAAAAGATTATGGCAGAGCAGGATAAATTTCCTAAACCGCTCGCCACCGAACGTAGTCCTTAAAAGACTTTGATCTCGGAAAATAAAGATTAATAAATAAATCTGGATATACCAAACAGAAAAGAAGAAAAACAAAAGAAGAAGTCCGAAAGAAATGGAACAAACAAAATACGCAATTGTATGAAAATTAATGGACGAGGTACAGCAAATATTAAAAATACTCTTTGATGTGGCTATAACTAACAAAAAAATGAAAATAGAAATTAAAAAAGGAAGGAGGGAATTCAGAAGAAAAATCGAGTAAATAAAAATGAAAATAGAGGACTTCGAGGAATACACCAACGAACAACAAAGAACGAACGCAAATTGTAGAGGTGAAATGGAATAAGTACTTAAAACCAACGAAATGAAATTCTTCGCAACACAGGTAGACCCAAAAATGGAAGACGAGGCAAAGCTATGCAAGAAACAGCTAAATAAAATAGAACCAATCACATGCCCAACCTTTAGGAAAGAAACAAAATATAAAAAAAAATAGAGAAAAACAAAAAGGCAAACCGAAGGCCAACTCAAAGGAAAACAGTAAGATGGAGCCAGAACTTTAAAAAAATAAAAGGCACTTGAATATACCAATATTTTGGACTGTGGTAAGTCCAGGAAATTTCAACGAGGGCCTATGATCTTTTATATTTATTTGTTCCATTAACACTCATTTAACATGTTAGTATGGTCCAATTAGAGTTTTTTCTCATTCAAGAGTGACCTTGTTTTGTTCTGCCAGGGCCTGGGCATACGGACCTTTCCAAAAAGGAAAAAATATGCATCACATACGGAAAATGCCAAAATGAGTAAAAGGCGCCTGATGAACCACGCGACAATAAGACTGATAAAAAATATAAAGGCATGGATGAAATGCAGCTTTCTTAAAACATATTATTTTACACGGTACTTTTGGCGTTATATACATACAATGAATTGGAAAAAGAAAGACTATGGAACAAATACAGTTCATCAAATTTCTGGAGGTGTTCGACGCCCAGACAGAGAACGCGCTACGTGTGACTAAGATAGCTATTGTACAGTCTGCTAAACAAGTTATTTTAAATAGTTTTTAATATTCTTAGGTAATTAAATTTTAAAAGTGTGGAATAGTTTAGGGATTAAATTGGTCTGATTGGACTTTCTTAGAACGTTTTTAAAAGCAGCTAAAGATAGTATGTAGAATTGAAAATAATTATTATACCATAAAAGGTGTTTTGGAATTCCTTCAACCTTTTGAAATTGAGTCAGAAAATATAAATTTTATAGGATAGCGGAAAATACCTATAATTTTTTGTAGGCCTTTGTAAATCGTGGAAATAGTTTATATTTTATTTCTACCTTATTAAGGAAAATGGTACCTATTATTAATAACGGTTGTTTCTGAAACATTACTAAAATTTTCGAAATTTTGTTTTTCTACAAAATAATAAACTATACTATTTAGAAAAAAATTTATTTCTCTTATAATTTTATAAAAAATAACAGGGGAATATTTACATTTCTTGATCTATTAAACAAAACGATAAATTATCTCGACGAATGACACCATGTTCTAGTACGGAAGCTAGTTACATTTTTGTTGGTGGTTTCATGGGTTTCATATCAATTTTTTGTAATTGTAGTTTACACGTACATATACCTCTTAACACTTGTTTGCTTTATTAAAAAAGTGTGTTGTTGTGATTTACGTCGAAATAAGTCAAAAACAACTTGAAACCACATATAAAATGAAAAAAAATTGAGCCTGTAAATGAACACAACTAAGAAACAAAAATAGCTATCTAATAATAAAAAAATAAAATTTAATTCTTGTGCAACTTCATCTATATCATTAACTGTTTTTGGTTTTTTAATGGTTTTTCTTGGTGATGAAAATTCCGATATCTCACGGTTATCGATTCTTTTTTTCTCTCCAGAAATGCGGACGACAGTGTTTTTAGATACTCCTGTGGCTGCAGCAACACGATCATTTACATTTTTAAATGGTATTGAAGGTGAATTAAAGTTTCCTTCTCTTCTCATAAACTCTATAACAATGGCTATTATTTCGCGAGATTGACTGTTAATCACGCGGCCTCTTAATTTGCTATTAAACTCCATACTTAGGTTCTATTAAACTGTAATGAGCAAAAAACACAAACGAAAATAAAAGAAATGTTTTAGCGAAATGTACATCTGATATTTACGTCTGAATGAAATAGTGAAATACTTGATGCGCAGAGTGTACTTTCATTGCGTAAATCCGTCGGGATGCCTGTCAGTAGTGCTTTCTCTGTCTAGCCGTCGAAATCCTCTAGAAATTTGATGAACTGTAGGTTTTAAAGTGAACAGGGGAAATATTAATAAGAGAGAAGATAAAAGTGAAGAGAATTGAATTTATATACATACATACATTCATTGGGAATGGGAACATAATCCGTAATGAAGAAGAGATAAGAAAAAAAGGTAAGCTGATAAAGCGAGGACAACTAACATCATGAAATAATATCTTAATGAAACCATCCATAATATTGCTAGGTTGACAAAAAAGGGGGTTTTAGAAGGTAGTCTGGCACTAGGTCGAAGTCGCACACTTACAGGTGCGATCCCATCAAGCACCTGGGGTCTATAAGGATTTCTCTATTCAAAAAAGGATAAGAATAATGATAAGGACAAGAACAGATCTTATAATTGCTGTTCCACATTTTAATGACACAGTCACTAATACGTTTAAAAATACTTGTATTCTTACTAGCAAGAAGTTCCACTAAAAAATACTCTAATGGAACGACTACCTTGTTAAACTAAGGAAACAAATTTATAATACCAAAGCAACTTAAATAGAAGCAGGAGCAATATAGTGCCACACGGTCCAGTTTCAACAGCTACCAAGACCTAAATACACACTTAATCAGGGAAATATTGAGGTGCAAAGATTACAAAACACATATGATATAAAATAGGCTGCAGCGTTATTTGAGACCAACTCAGACTATCCCAGAAAAAAACTCCCAGGAAATTAAATTAATTATAGTCAAGTTATAATTTTATAGAAAACACTGCAACAATTTTTAAACATTTCGTCCATTCTAAAACAAATTAGGGTGTGTTGCAGTAACACAAAATAATAAAATTAATATCTTCTATCAATACACATTATTCTGCAAACTGTCTTATTATTCAGCAATTCAACCAAGTGATAGGTACTGGAATCATGTCACGTGCATTCTGTACAATATTTGCCAAATCAACCATCCTATTGACATGTTACAAGGAGGCGGAGATTATTGGAATCAGCTTAAAAAAAAATAGATAAAAAACGCCTGTGCCTTAATTCTAGACTTTTTTCCCATGGGAAGAAGATAATTTTCCTGTGTGAATTTATATTTTGTATTCTCAGCACATCCTCTAGGAATAATTTCTCATAAAAAGTATGAGAGCACATTGTATTTGGCATGGAAAATCCAATTTCCAATGGGAATATTGGTAGTGAATTCTACTGAATCAAAGTTAATCTGTCACCAGTAACATTTGCTATTTTCTTGTTACTTTAAATAATAATAATATAATCATTTTCAATATACCTTCTTTTCTTAAAATGAATGAAGGCTATTTTACTTCTTTAATTAAACCATATAAAAGGTGCAGAAAAAAAATAAGATATTTTGAACTAAGTGCAACATAGAGCAGAACATCACTTTGAATTTTTAAATAAAACCAAAATTAATAAATAATTAGACCATCAATAGAAGCATCCTCTGATCTACTTTCAGATATGGAAACAATAATCCCCACTTTTTTTTTAGTCTTCGACATATTTTTTTTAAGAATCAAAAAGTGACATTATTTATTATCATTAACATGAGAAGAATAAATAATTCCAATAAAACAACTTGCAAGTATTGAACTATCTTGATTATTATAGGTCAGTTTGCAATATTTTTGTATTAAATACAAGACATACGTTGGATATACGAATAATTAAAATTCCTATAGAAATTATATTCCTAACCTAGTGGAGAATACCGTTTTAAAATACCACTGGAAAATAAGAAGTTGAATTCTTATCCATGGAAAAATTTTCCTGTAAAGTCAAGAATCGAGTCCCTGTAAGCAAAAAATATTTATATTGACTATAAACATGGACTCTTTAACCTATCTGCAACCTACTGCCCTTCCAAATTTAACAATTAATAGAAATACTATGAGCAGTACCTACTATAAAATCGTAGAAAACAAATTAATGGCAACCAGCGATAAGAAGGGTAACTAGTTATCAGACCACAAAGAATAAGGTACCGGGTGCAATTGACTCCTAAAAATATTGGACGATATAAAAAGAGTAAAGTAGGCAATTAAATATTTAACTAGGTACAGCCCATCCAGACATCATCATGAAACATAATTATCAAACCAAGCAATAAAGACAAAAGGGGAACAGTCCAATTATTATATAGGAAAAGTAATTAAAGGAAAAAAAATGGCAATAGACTAGAATTGACACTGGAAAGGGAAACTGTAACAAACATGCAAGAGAACTTAGGATGTTAATCAATAATTTAAAAAATCAGTAAAAGATTATTTAAAATCATTAAGCAGCCACAGACTGTTCATTCTGAAATTAAAAGAGCGTTCAAAAGTAACATGGCACTTAATATAAAGTTGTTTTATCCCTTATTTTATTTTATTGATGGGACTAAAAACATAAGTATAAAAACCCTGCATATATTAGCATTAAGTAATGATTATAAATATATAATATTCCTTACCTCTTTTTTCTCATCAACAAAATTAAAAAAGTCATCAATGCTTCTATCAACCTCCCTTTCTTTCAATTTACTTCTCACATTATCAATTTCTGCATCTAAATGTTCGCTTTCTTTTCTCACCCTTTCAATTGGTAACCTGCTTTTTGCCAAATCAGATGTATTGATCGCCTTTTCTTTAATTTTTTTCAAATGCTCTGAAATTTTTTCTTTATAATTTCTTTTGAATTTGTTAGGTCCTGTAGATTGTTTTGATTCTGGTTTTACTAAAAATACATCGTCAGATATTTCTGAGATAGTTCGCTGATCGGAGCTACTCGGCCTGCAAAATAAAAAGATGGTAGTGAACGCGCTATTCTCATTTAGTCTAAAAGCGGACAGAAAAAAATCAAAGGAACAGATTATTTTAGTCTGAATTGCTAAACATCAGACCAACCATGATTTGATCTTGATTTACGCAGACGCCAAAATATCAAAAAAATTTGATCCATCATTTTGCTAGTAAGTGTAAACAAAGAAAACAGTAGTTATTGTTAAAGAAAAGGCTGTTAGATTTCGATTACGTCACAAATAAGTACCTTTCTTGAAACGCGACTATTTTCAACAATCATCATAAATGTTACATAGAATGCCATTTCATATAAATAACACCTAGGGATGCGCGATACACTTAAAAGTATCGATATCAGGTATCGATACGGACCGGAACGTAAAGTATCGATACAGTAAAATATCGAATGTTGATGTATCGATACTCGAAGTATCGACACTTTAACGATCCGAGATTGTTAGTAGTTATTTCAGTTATTCACACTTTATTAGGGCTTGACAGTTTGACAGGTAGTATATAAATTGAAGACAGACAGATCATATTATTTTTTTTTATTTAAAACATTTATTCACCATTTTAAAAATAATGTACAAGATCAATATAAAATAACGCACAAAGTACACAGCACAATTGTGCGGCTTACATCATAATCAAAAGATAAAACAAACCAATTATTTTAGATACTCCTAACTACATAAAAAAATAGTAGCTACTTATAACACGAAAATATTTCAGGGATTCACAATGAAGTGGAGAGGGGTAGAATGATAACTGTCAATGAAAAAGTCAAGACACTATGCACAATTTCGTTTTGCACATTTTGTAAACAAGATTCAGGGACGGTTTAACAAGATTTTGTGCAACAATTATAAAATAGTGCATCGGAAAATAATTAACAAGTATAATTTAATACTAAATTGAAATAAAAGAACAAAATATCACAAATATACGCAAAATAACAAAGAATTGACGCCAAAAAAGCTTACAACAGCCACAACAAAAACAAAAAACAGATCTGAACATGAACATAATCGCTGAACAATGCCAATCCTGGAATTTGTTTACAGTGCTTTAGGGCAACCTCTCCTTGTCATTTACATGTGTAAGAATGGAAGGTTAAATCATGCATAATTTCTACACTCGTGATGGATGCGCAGACGGTACTTTATCGTTCTACCCTCTCTACTTCTTTGGGGATTCACTCAGCCCAGTTGACAGCTGACTGACAGAGGACAGACAGAGGATAGAACGATACTGTGCTCATAAGAAATTAGAATACGATCGTTGTTGATATCTTCATACAACGATACGATTTTATCAATTATATGCATTTTTACAGAAACTACAAACGATGAATAACGGTTGCGTAAATGTATTTAATTTTTCGTTTTGCTAGTAAATGACGCCACCCCGATCCGCCACCAACCAAAATTCCGGATCGTAAAGGTATCGATACAGTAGAAATGTATCGATACTTGCAACGTATCGTAAAACAAAGTATCGATCCAAAATATCGAGTATCGGACGTAAAAGTATCGATACTCTGAAATATCGGATCGTATCGCGCATCCCTAATAACACCCTAATGTGCATTTAAGTTGTGTCCATAAAAGTACTTATTATGCCCATAAAATTGTTGTAAGGACCCGTAAATACCGTTGATCTATTTTTCTCCTTTATTATGGATTTTATAAACAGGGAAATATCAACAAACATTAAACATTTTCATATTGTTTTGAATGGATGCGGGGACAAAACAAGAACCAATCAGTTATTAGAATATGCTTAGGCCTTGCATACCTCGGACGATTTCATAGTTTGAACCAATATTTTCCCATAAGAGGACATTCCTTCATGCCCTGTGACAGTGATCAAAGACTATAAAAAATGGTGGCCCATTTACACAAAAAAAATTCTCGGTCTGCAGCATCTTGGGGAAGGGCTGTTAAACAGGAATATAAGGTTGTTTTTTTGATTTCCAATTTTATGCACTTCAGTTACAACAAGGAGGAGAAAGGTGTTGTGACTGCTCGCAATTTTATTGATGGCTTAATGAAACACGAATTTAAGCTGGGAAGCTCTACTGTTGTCAGATCTTTTCCCACAGTCGTTGTATACCCTAATACAAAAGTCCCAATCAGTGCAAAAAAAAGTTGAATATTAAAAAGTTTCAAAGGTATATCGTAGAAAAAGGTGAAGTAAATTGAAAACTTTTATCGAGAAATATTTGAATGGCCGACTGTTGGAGCCGACGATGATGATGATGATATTGAATACTGACCGGATTTATTACTATTCTTTTATTTTATTTATCATTATTTTGAGCAAATAAAATAATTTAAAAAAAAGTTGTATATATATTTGGGAAACCACTGCCATTTTTATTTTTTTCTCACAAGACCAAAAGATATTTTTTTTGTTTTTGCTAAAAACTTTACAGCAAGTACCTGTACTTTATATTGAGTACTTGTTTTTATTATTCAAGTGGTTCTTAAACAAAACAATTTTTCAGCTTTTTTCGAAATATTGATTTTTGGACTTGTAAGGTTTCTCAAATAAGCGATTCAAATATAACACGTGTCTCTTACCTTCTAGAAAATGTTTTTGGATTTACAGAAAATATGTTAACAATATTATCATCTTCAGTACCAGTAGCGGTACTAACGGAAGTTACAGAAAATGTTCTATCAGATTTTGTTGTAAGTTCATTGGTGTTGTATGACTTGTAACCCCTCATAGACTTCGGATTTTCTTTTTCAGATGATGATAAATCGACAAGTTCTATTAATTCTTCCTAAAATAAACAAAATGACCTTAATTAATTGTACTAGTGCATTTAACCGATTATAAACTAGGTAGGTGTACTGTACTGCCTTCCTTTTAAACGAAAATATGTGAAATGGAGACCCAGTAATTTTATTTAATTCTTTAACAATAATGCCAAAGAAAGACATATATTTATTACGGGAAATTTTGAAATATTAAAAACACACAGATTTTAAAAGAAAAGCATCTTTCAATTAACCGAGAAAAATTTGTATAAAAAGCGTATTTTTAGTAGGCCTTTGTCTTCAAATCAACGACAGAAAACTATTTGACCAATACATTGATCGGTAATTAAGCTCTTTTTTATCGCCATCATTTACATTCTGTTTACTATTACGCAGACAGACTGTCGCATCGGCTGCCCCATTCGAAAGAAGTCACCCAGCAAACAGAAGTAACATATATGTTTTATTTACACATACTTACTAGTTTTGTGTTATATAACAAAGTAACTTACATATTACAAAATAACTCACGTGATTAGTATGAAAAATATTCTTATTTTGTTTGATAGCAGGTTCCTTATAGGTGATGTACATGTAAGAAACAATGTTATATATTGAAAGACATGTTACATTTATAATACATTATTTATTGTTTCGGCCTTTACTTGATGAAAATCCATTTTATCTTGAATGAGTAAAACCAAATTTGGTAGATTTTCACAAAACTTTTATTTTAAAAAAATAAAAATTAAACAATTTTAAAAACACTATACATGACATGTTTCGAAGTACAACTTCTTTTTCAAATGTGTGGGCAACAATATGAGCCTTTTATTTAAAAAAATAAGCTTAAAAGAGAATGGCTAAAGGCAATGCCCCCCCCCTGACAATTCGTCACTCACTCTCTATATAAGCCCTAATCTTACCTCATACCTTTCTTTATTAAAATTTCAATACAAGTACAAACGTGTTTATACCTGTACTATATACAGAGTGTTTCAGATTTAAAAGGATTAATGGGAGGTAGAGTACACTTAGCTGAGTTCAAAACACCCCTATACTTAGCTTTTAATCTTACTCGTTTCTGAGATATAGGGTGTTATATGATTTTTTGCCAAAACTAAAATCGGCCATTTTGTTTGAACGGCTAGAGTTATTTTGATAAAATTTTGTACAAAAGTTACACTCTCTTAGGTCAATCAAAACCATAATTTAATTTTAAAAATTCCAGGACCAGACTCTCTTTTTTTTAAATTGCTCTTCTTGGCTAGAATATCTCCCCTGTATATCGGATTTTAATAAATTTTACTGCACATTTAAATAGTACGCGGATCAATAAATAAAATAATGTAATAATATTTTATGGCACCATCTTGATTTTCTTAGAGTAAATTTTTATAATGGCGACTACAATATTATAAATCAGTTTTTACAAAATTGAAATGAAATGTATTACTCTGTATTTTTGAAACTCTACACAAATTAGGTACCATCTTCATTCATTTTTAACTACGGCATTTTCCAATAAGAAATTGAACATCTACACAGGACCGGGCTGATTTTATTTGACAAAGTAACAGAACAAACTAATAGAACAAACTAACAAAACAAACTAACAGAAACAAATAATTAATTTAAACTAAACTAAATTTTAAAAATGAACACCGTGAACGTCAATACACCTCTGCAAACGTTTTAGCAGGTTTTTTTACTGATTTGTCATTTATTTCCGGTTTATTTCTAATGTTGTTCCATACATTATTATTTTTTCCAATAACTGTGCTCCGGTATTCATTTCTTCGTTTTACACCTCTGATTTAAGGTAGCCCCATAAAATATAATCCAGAGGTGTTGGTGACCAATTGGCGGGACCGCTTCGACCTATCCAGCGACTTGAACACACATTAAATGTTTGGTGTGGAATTTTTAAAAAATCACTTGATACTCAAGCACAGTTAAATCATTGTTTCCCAAGAATTGCCCAAAAAAAACAAGAAATTCAGATAAAGATAACGAAACAAGTAAAGATATCAGCTAACAATAGAGTTTATCTCATGTTAAACCTTCCGTTTTCTTTTATATAAACCCAGGTATTTGCGGGGTAAATTTTGGTAGCCTCTGTTCATTATAATTAGGAAGCCGCATCATGCTGCCTCTACGCAGACCATCAGCTCATGGATGAACTTCATTTTTAGTAATTGATATGAAGCAATTTTCCTCTTACATTTTAAGTTTTCTTAAAAGTGGGTCAATTATGACAATATAATTTTTAAACTTGTAATCAGTTAAATATAAATAAAAAGTTCTATCGTAATTTTTGTTGCAACATGCTTTAAATAGCGACAATTTATCTTATTTACGAGACGAAGCAGAAATATAATTATAAAATCAAACGAATTTACCTGAAGTGAAGTTCGATCTTAATTATATGATGCCTCGTCGAAGTGAATAAGTCCCAGACTTACCCAATATTTCTAAAGTCCCCTTTAAGTTGCAACAAGTATGCTATGAAATGACTAAAACTAAGTGTTGGGATGAATGGATTGATGGAGAAGGGAATATATCAAATAGTTCCAGCTTTCAACTATGTGGTCGAATCGAAGCATATACAGGGGGCGACAATATATCTTATTTACTTCGACGATATAATTAGGATCGAACTTCACTTCAGGTAAGTTCGTTTGATCTTATAATTTTATTCCAGTTCGCTAACCTATTAAATTCTACTAATGATAAAAAAGTTGAAATGGCATATGTTTCACATCAAATAATTAGGAAAGGGCCTTCAGTGCACTCTAAGGCCCGTAGATTAAATCCTGAAAAATTAGCAGATGCAAAAAAAGAATTCAGCAGTCTTTTAGAAGCTAAAATAATTTGCCCATCAAAGAGCCCGTGAGCTAGTCCATTCCATATGGTTAGAAATCTAAATGGTGAATGGAGAGCATGTGGAAATTACCGTCTTTTAAACATCAAAACTGTACCTAATCGTTACCCGATTCCAAATATTAAAGATTTTACGTTCCACCTTAAAAAAAATGATTTTCAAAAATAAATCTGACCACGGCTTTCCATCAAATTCCTATCTCACCAGAAGACATAGAAAAGACAGCAATAATTATCCCTTTTGGACTTTTTGAATACCTCAAAATGCCATTTGGGTTAAGAAATGCAGCCCAAATATGCCAAAGATGTATCCATCAAATAACTAGAGACTTAGAATTACCAGATAATAGATTTAAACTTGTTAACATAGATTTAATAGGCCCTTTGTAACCCTCAAATATATATTGTTTAACATATATTAATAGATTTTCAAGGTGGATTAAAACTTTTTCTTTAACCAATATAACGGTAGAATCCGTAGCTCGTGAGTTTTATTATGGATGGATTTGTAGGTTCAAAGTTCCTTCAAAAGTCACTACTGATTAAGGAAGAAAATTTGAATATGAACTTTTTAGAAAATTGTCTAAATTAATGGGATTTAGTCATCTAAGAACAACTATCTATCATCCACGATCTAATGGCATGATTAAGAGATTTCATAGGACACTAAAAGTTTCTTTAAAATGTCTTTTAAATTATTCTCAAAAATGATCAGAAATGCTTCCAACTGTCTTGTACGACTTAAGAACTACACCTAAAGGAGATTTAAATGCATCCAGTAGCGAATTAGTTTACTGTTTCAGATTAGAGTACCAGGTTATTTAATTTTAAATAAAATAGATTTCAACGAAAATCAAGTGGAATTCCTAAACAAATTAAAGCAACTGAAACATCAAATCACACCTCAAGAAGAATTTTCATTCCAAAAGAATTGTGTGTTGCTTCATTTGTATTTGTTAGGGTTGATGCCGTAAGAAAACCTTTACAAAAACCTTACATTATACCATATAAGGTTTTGAATAGAAGAGATGGCGATTTTACATTGCCAATAAAGGGAAAAGAAAAAAAAGATTCATCTGAAGAATACGTTACCCATTTTGGTTGAAAAGTTAAATTTTTGTTAAAAAATACTTATTTTTAAAGGGTGGTTATTTCAATATCTTACTTATTAATTTCACCCTGTAGGATAATATTTTTGACTTTGATGACTACTCAAAAAATCTGATGTGTCCAACACATGACTTTCCTATCTAGTTATTGTAGGCTTTTTCCGGTTATTTTGTACAACCTATTACAGCATCTCTATAAATGTTTAGAGGATAAACTAAATATATACATTGTCCACATACATCTACCTCGAAACATTTTTCTATAGATATTCATGGAAAACGAAAATACTGAAAAATTTAAATTTCCTACAATTTTTTCATTACGGTCCATTTTAGAAAAATCATGCATAAACAAAAATTATAGAGATCGATATCGCAAACAACTTTTATTTTAAAAACTTTCATAAAAATCAGATTTTTGCACATTTTGTCAAATTTCTCGAATACGGACCATTTCAGGAAATTTTTACAAAAAACAAAAATTATAGATAATAATATTAGAAGTAACTTTTATTTGAACAATTTTTTTCTCCAAACATTAATAACAGATATATTCCATAAAATATAAAAGTGGCCTCCCATAAAGTACCCCCCCAGATGTTCCGACTATGTCCAAAATCTAATCATTTCACGTCAGGCCGAAATAAACCTTAAGTTTAAAATTTAATGTTTTTTTCTTTATCCGTTTTTGAGTTTTCTTCAAAATTCGAAATTTACACATTTTCTCAAATATCTCGAATACGGTCCATTTTAGAGAAATTATCTATAGAATAAAAATTATAGAGAATTATATTACAAACAACTTTTATTTGAACAATTTTTATAAAAAATTATTTTTTTTACATTTTGTCAAATTTCTCGAATACGGACCATTTTAGGAAAATTTTGTATATAACAAAAATTATAGATAATTATATTAGAAGTAACTTTTATTTGAAGAATTTTCTTCTCCAAACGTAAATAACAGATATATTCCATAAAATATAAAAATGACCACCTATAAAGTACCCCCCAGATGTTCCGACTCTGAC